TGGCTTCTCTCCTGAGGCCACAAGAGGGTGCATCGAGCAAAATATTATGCACGTTTCTTCAAAGCGTAATAAAATAACACGACTATCTTTGAAAAAAAGTGCATAATGTTTAAAATAATGTTTATGAACCATATATAATTAATAAAGTTGCTTAAACAATTAGAAAAAAAAACAGCTCCATGTTATGTCACTTGCGGCACCGACCCCCACTTAGAACTAATCATTTAGTTCAGTAAAAGAACAGACACTACAATTAAAAACTGAACGCGGCTGCTCAATGCAGCGTGCTGAACGACAGTCGCATCACAGATCAGATTTCATTTATGCAGTGAGGAGGGTGAGTCGAGCTGACTGACAAGAAGAGTGAGGTGAGACAGACAAGACGATGGCGGATGATTTAGTTTCGAAACGAGATGCAAAAGCGCCTGTTTGGCAATATTTTGGATTTTGAAAAGCCTGTTGATTTTGCCATTTATCTAAGGTGATTTTGGAAGTTTTTTTTAAACATTCGTTTCTTATTTAATTGGTTCCACATTGTTTGCTGATTTTTAATTTATTTAAACTTTGTGTCATTTATTTATTTATTTTTTACATCAAGGTGTATGCCATGCCTCCAAGCTTTCTTACTTGTTTTGCTAATAAACATTCCACGTTTCTTATTTATTTGGTTATATATTATACAGGTTTACTTTGCCTATTTCCAGTTTTGTATACCTATTTAAACTATATGTAAGTTATTTGTTATTTTATATTAGGCATAGCCTGTAGCATGGTGTATTTTTATTAGTTTTGTTAATAAAAGTTCTATGTTTTATATATAGGCTAAAGTGAGTTTGACGTTGTATTTTGTTGTTGCCTTCAAGCAATTGACGCCTAACTGCCGCTAATTCAAAAGTGAAAGTAAAATGCACACGGCGCTTTTAAGCTATTTAAAAGCGAAGGAAAGCGAGGAAAAGAGGGGAAATTCAAACGAACTAAAAACGAACAATTGATTTACGCCGAATTGCCGCTATTTGAAAGTGAAAGTAAAATGCGCATGTAGCTTTTACAAGCTATTTAAAAGCGAAGGAAAGCGAGGAAAAGATTTCCCACGGTGATACCAGTACTACCGGTGTTGTCACACGTCGATTAACCGGTGGGAAAATTTCCTCACCATCACAACCCTACCATGCATGTATGTATAGTTTAATACAAAGGACCGAAAACCAATCACAAAGAGTAGGCTACTTTCTTCATTTAA